TCATCGTCTCTGTCATTTTGATGAATCAATTATTCTATAGCAGGCCGCAACCAAGTATTACCACTACACAAGCTATGATTGTCTTTTGAAGCAGGTAAGTCAAATTTTGTAAACCCAAGTGGTAGCAAACTGCACCGAGCTACATAACAAAAGCCTTGGAGCAGCAAATTTAGAGTGACGAAGGACCTAGGCATTCGAGACACGAAGGACAAGATTATGCAGGGAACATAGGGTAAAAGTCTACGAATACAGAATTAGTAGCTGAGTGTTGAGGATAGATTAAAGCATGGCCTTGACCAGAGCCTCGCCATAAAGCTGCAGCGTGGGCACCAGCAATGATTGGCCGGTTGCAACCGTAGCTTACTGCAATCACTGATGCGCATAGATGAGCTATTGGTTGATTGTCAGAGTCTACGGCTTTTAGCTTAGCCTGAGGTCAATAATGCCAATGTGATGATGTGAGGGACATGTCACGTTTTCGAGTAAACTTGTTCATCGCATAACAGCATCTGCGAAATACTGCGACCTCTTACTCCTATCTGCCACCAGTAGGTTTCTAAATTAGGAGTTATTCCTGCTGTTGGAGTTATTTTAGCCTGCTCCCGAAGCGTTACTTTGCATTCTTTTCAACCACTAGTCTCACAGCATAAAAGCCATTATGCATTTCTCATCGATGAATTCATCATTGCCAACGTTTCTTCCTAGGCATATTCTGTGTTCATTGTCTGTAAAGTTTAATGGTGAGCAATTATACGTCCCTGGTCATCAAATCAAGTCTCGAACGCTCGGCTGTACGCTATGCTCGGTCATATGGGATCATATAACCAAAATGCAGCAGGTGATGACCACACAGGAGGTTGAAGGAGAATTCTCAGTTCAGAGAATATCGAACACAGTATTCATGTGTGGTTTAGAGATTGGAGTGTATCACTTACAGAGGAGAAGTTTAGAATCGAAATTTTCCGTGCTACTGGTACGCTCAACTTCCATATCGCAGTCAGATGATCTGACCCATCAGGATTATAGATGACCCTCACGGGGATCCATCTGCTGGGGAAACGTTGTCAGACAGGAACCTTCAACTGGTGAAGACATGGATATCAGATTGCCTGATGAAGCACGACTTGTGCCAATCAGTGGGAAATGGTTCGTTACCAAAACGAGTCATAGGTGTTAGCCATGGAGATAGTTCATCCAACGCGGCCTTAATTAAACCTACCGCTGGAATATGAGTTCCCTATGCTACGTTAAGTTACTGCTGGGTTCAACCGTCCCTCTGTGCACAACTCGGGACACGTTGGCAGATAGGCTTCATAGCCTGAACTTGTCTGACTTGCCAACAACGGTTTAAGATGCTATTAAGATGACACGTTGGTTAGGACTGAAATACCTATGGGTTGATTCGCTCTGCATCTTACAAGGCGACAAAGAGGACTAGGAGGAAGAGTCAGATAAGATGGCCTCCATCTACGAAAGTTATTATGTTACAATTGCTGCTACGACGGCTGGAGATTGTGAGACTGGATTTCTTACGAAGAGAATGTGGAACAGCATTACGGTATCCTTCGGTAATGATACGTATGTGATATACAGCAAGTACAAAGCCCCTCATGCAGATTTTGGGAGGCAACATTTTTGGTTCCCGCCTAGCTCAAGGCACCCCTTATTTCATCGAGGCTGGGTTCTACAAGAACAGCTCCTAGCTGCTCGGGTGTTGCACTTCACGCAGAATAAGATCTTCCTCGGATGCGGGGATAGTCCGGGATGCGAGTGTGTCGGTAACACTGACTGGGGCGATGATTATGTATCAGAGCTCCGTGAGGATACGGACGCGGGTGAGGACGAGCATGAGGATGAGCGCGAAGATAGGGAGGGTTCGACGAAATCTGGAGTTAAGACTCGAATAGCGACATGGATAGGCATAGGGATTTGGAACAGAACAAGGAGAAGGATATGATTGATCAACCGATACTGGCAACAGCCAAGAATTTGTTCGCAAATCGATTCTCTCAGAATACTCTAGATATATGGCATCATATCGTTGCAAACTACAGTTCAATGCGCTTGACTTATGATAGCGATACTCTCCTGGCAATTTCTGCCATCGCTGGTTGCCTCGCGCCTCAATTGGGAGATTATGTCGTTGGAATGTGGAAGGATCACCTATTAGAGGACCTCCCCTGAGGTACTCTCGGAGAAAGGGGCAATGTGGCTTCTTGTCGAGAATGGAATGGGGCACCTTCTTTCTCTTGGGCATCAGTCTCAGGCCAGGTTGTCTGGGTCCAAACCCGGACTTGTGGGGCAGTGCGACTCGTCAACTCAAGTGTGAAGCTCACAAATGCACTTGTTCCATTTGGCCATGTGGAACAGGCTTCTACTACTGTCAAAGGTCCTTGCTTCGGTGTTCTCTGAAACCGCCATGATAAAATAATTAGTGTGGTCATAGGGAATGAGACGCAATTCGTGTCCATGGATAGCACGGGAGAAACCCAAGCTGTCGAGAAAGCAAGGCCTGAAGCAGATCTGTTCTACTGGAGTGCAGTTGTCGTGGTTCTTGGTATTGAAAACTTCTTCGGCAGAAGAGGATAGCTTCGGACGGATTGGAGTGGGTGAGGCAAGTGTGCCGACTACTTCTGAAACGGAGATAACAATTGTTTAAGATATAGTGAATGAAATGTAATAACGTTGCCGGACAGAATCGCTCAGAGAAAAGAAAGAAATTAGACTTTGAAGTAGCAGCTAGGTTTTATTGCATCCGCCAAACGCAAGTGCGAGTTGGAAGAGTGTTCATTACGAAATAATGTCAGAGTAGAAAAACAGAATATAAATTAGCATATCACCTATAGCAAATCTGTTGTGAAGGCTTGGATGTTGTGTCTCTCTGTTATTGAGCATGAAACCAATAATCACCAAAACCCTCCATCCAAGCAAGGTCTGATGATATGAATGGCATTGCGATAGAATCTGCCACATTTCGTTCCTGAAATTGACAATTGACCAATCGCATCTTATTGACTTCAACATTCTTCAGTGCCAGATCTATATAAAAAGCTCCGAGGAGTATTGGCAACTCCAGTTTTCTTACGCGCGATTCAACACCAGAAGAGATTCACCAGAAGAGATTTGTTTCCCCGACTTCCGGATCACTTTATCATCCGATTCCAGCCCCAAGCACTATTGTACTTTGAATTTCCCACTAAGTTCTCAAACATGATCCAAATCGTTTGGTGAGCAGGTACGTTTGTGGAGAATATTTATAAGAATTCACGAAGCGAAGTTCGACCATGATGCTATCTTACAGAAGACACTTTAAATTCTTTAAGAAAACCGATTACGAGACAACCAGGACTTAAGCTCTACAAGAAAGGAATGCTTGCTTGGTCTTGGAAGAATAGCTACACTTATTTACACACACTTGATTGATTCCTCATACCAGACTCATCGCCATATCTCTACTAAGCTCACTCCTATCGTTGCATTCTCCCAGGGACTCATTCCCTATCCACCATTCACATAAAGACTCCAGTTCGAGGATAGTCATGCAGGTCTCAACCCAAGACACTGCCCATTCTGATTCCAATGCGGAATCAATCCACCCCTTCCAGGTTTAACATCTGGCCCTCTTCTGACCAGCCCACCTGACTGCATCCAAGGCTGGTATTGCTGAATTGGGCTCTGATATACCACGTTTCCATTTGAAAGCATGACTGGAGGACCCGAGCATAACGGTGCCCAGGGAGGAGATAGTGGTAGATATTGAGATAGCGGTTGTGGCCACTGAATCCAATGAGTGGTGAAGGTTGGCCACAGACATGTGGGCTTGTAGACATATGGTTGTGGCTGCAAAAGGAGCTGTGATTGTTGTTGGAATTGGAGAGACATGTATCCTAGGCATGTTGAGGCTGGATAAGTGTTGCTGTAAATAACGGGCAGTGGTTGTATTTGAAAGCTTTGTAAAGTGAAGAGAAGGGGGCATGCTTGTTGAGAAGTTGTTGATGTTAGTGCGATTGAAGACGGTTGTGGCTCCAGTAGTGTTGGATTCTTTATATCAGAATTCAGAGGTGGAGGTGGTGCTGGACTAGAAGACAACGCTGAACTGTAACCTTGATTGGAAGCGGGTGGATCTGTGGCGCTTGAGTCCATGGCAGTCGAAGTAATTTTGTTGCAGGAGCGAGTTCCAGTCGCTATCGGTGATGAAGCGCCTTAAGCTGGCCTTGTAAAGAATCTGGAAAGACTTTTCCTGAGGCTTGGGTTTGTTTTGATTGATGCCAATATAACTGTGGCTTGCTGGATATGCTGGATCAATTGTGAAGGCGAAGAGAGACTCTGTTTCGAAAGGTGTTTAAGAAAGAGTGAGAAACTAGAAGGTTTGCATCAAGATGATTCAGAAGCTATATTCATGCCATTTACCCAAAGATCGGTATGAATATATTGGAAACGTGTAAATGTTGTGGAGCCATGGCAAAGTCGATTTCTAGTTCACTGTTCGCCCTCAGCTATCTTGTAAAGAGATATAGTTGGAAATCATCGTAGCTGATGAACGGAAGACTTCAGGACACGACGTGTTGAAGTTTAAACTTGTTGTTTTCTATGCTACGAAGTTCTCTCGAGAGAACAAATTAGTCATATATGGGAGGATTCAAAAGCTGAACGGGAGAAAACATGGAGAGAACCTTTGGGAAGATGCCAATTGCGCGTGGTAAATTGCACCTGGAATACGTGGCTCGTTTGACTTTGAAGCTCCGAAGTAGGATGCGAAAACCTCAAACTCACATCGGGCCCTTTCAGGAAGGTAAAGATCACTTATGCAGAAGCATTCAGAGATAATTTGAGAGAAAATCTGGAGTAAAGAAAAGGGGGAGTTGGTCTTCACAAGCAGCTGGCTAACCGAACCAACCAAAAGCCGTTCTGGTAAACTTCGGCCCACAAGCCCCACCTTTGACAATATCCTTTATAATGCCAAATAAGCAGAAGTGCTCCAACAAACACACAAATAGCCTGCCCGGCTAGCTCAATCGGTAGAGCGTGAGACTCTTACGATCAATCTGCGATCTCAAGGTTGCGGGTTCGACCCCCGCGTTGGGCTCAATTCCCAGCACTTCGTGCCTTTCCTTTTGAATTTTTATTTTTGCACTATGTCAAAAATTTGCTTTCTAGTTGGGTTGTGTTGGTGATATGATATTTTTTTGCCCGTTTTGGGCAGTTTTTGGTGTTCTGGCAGGGTTTAAAGTGAGTGGGGGTTTCTAGTGGCATGGAACGGCCCTTGGTGGAATATGTTTAGAGAAGGAGCGACAATGACAGAAGGATTTCGAGGAACGTTGAAAACCATCACGAGGACTGGAAATTTTGTGACATAGGTCATGTAAAAGTATAGAACGAACCTTGCACTGATGGGGATGCTTTAATGTAAGGAGTAAGCAAAGGTTTGAACGGTCGACGCATTTTAAATATATGTCCCTCAAATACTCAGCGACTTAGTGACCATAGCAGATTAAAATCCGGGTGTTATCGTTCTGCGAAAATGCCTGGACTGTTACAAGTCGAGATGAGAGGTAGGAGGCGGATAAAGATTTAGGTCTACTCGAAAATGTAATATTGGATATCTTGACTAACCTCGAGAGATCGAAAGGCTCCCAATAGCACTCTAAGTTAAAATAATTAAAGTAAAACAGATCAGTCTACAATTATCGTTAGGTTATGGCTCTAAGTCTGAACTGTCAAGGAGTGCCTAGTGTTACGATAGAATCTCTACTGTAGAAGACGAGTCTCAATAATGCTCTGATCTTCCTAGAAGATCACAAGAAGCTCTTTGACAACACCAGAAGCTATGTCGCTGGATATGAATAAAGTGATTTTCATTAAGGCGTCATAATTTCTGATCTATAATGGTTCGAAGCGTTAGGAAAGATGACCCTCCTAAACTGTGGATAAGCAATATACATATGATTAACTGACTCTAAAACGGCAACGACGAGGTAATTCAGGTTCGATCCCCGCATTGAGCTCAATCCTCAGAGCTTTGCGGTCTTCATTCTTTTCGGTATTATGGTTTCTGGTTTCTGCATCATGTCAAGCTTTTACCTTCATGCCAAGCAGGTTAAGACAACACAGAGGACACTGCCAGAAATACCTTTTGAATGCCATGTATTCATCTACTTCCACGTTTTTCTACCTTCCCCCATCCTTTCATCACCGCGGCTTCATCGAGTTAATCATCTCCTGATGTGTCGCCTTATCCTTATTCGTCTCCGTCAACGGCGCAATACTCCTCAAATCACCAACCACATCCTTCGCCTTCCCAAAGTACACCTCCTGTAACAGATTCCGCATCTTCAACTCCATATCCTCTACCAGCTTGCCAATATTCGCAATATGAGATGTATCATCGTCGACAGGTAAATCGCTCTCGATTTGTCTTGTCATGTTCCCGCTCAAATCCATCTCGCCCAGAGTTTCGCTGCCTGTTGATAAATGCAGGATGACTGTGCTGGTGAGTTTGTAATGTGCCGTGCGAGCCCGATCAACAGCCTCAAACACGTGGATGGAATCCCAAGTCCCCTCACTCTTTCCAGACGGGGTCGCAACTGTATACGTCAGCTTCATCCCAAAAACCTTCCTGAAATAGTTGCCTACCCTTCTTCAACAGCACAACCCCCGCAAACCCATCATCCAAGTTCCAAAAATACACGCTACTAACGCCCCCTCGTAATAAAGCTCCCTATAAACATCAAAAGCCTCATTCGCCCTAATCTCCATCTTCCTCACCCTCTCACTCGGCACCGCCCCCTCACCCGCCCCCTCATTATTCCCCATATCATCTACGCCGCCGACGCCCGTGCCCCCAGCGGGGTTCTCGAACTCGCCGGACCACGGAGAGCGGTAGGAGTCGCCATCGCGGTTGTAGTCGCAGAGGAGGTAGTCGCGGCCGGTTTTGCGACAGCGGGCGATTGTGAGGGGTTGGTCGACGGAGGAGAGGAGGTCTTCGGTGAGGGAGGGGACGAGGGAGATGAGGGAGTTGAGGTGCGTGGAGGTGTGTTTGGGGTCGAGGCGGCGGAGGAGGTCGCTTTTGCTGTTAGTGTGCAAAATGAAGCTGGCATTAGAACTTACAGAGCGCTATCAAATTGGTCTACTTCTGCCATCTTGTTTGCGGGTTGTGAGGTTGAGTTGTGGTTGCTTGTGAAGCTCAATGGAGGGGTGCGAGGGGTTGACGTGTAGCATTTAAGCGACCAGGATTACGAGTAGCGCTTCTTATCACAACAGATGAAACTAGTTGGGTAGGCATTTTAGTTAAACATGAAGAATAATTTGCTCTAAATTAAGTGTAATCAATTACATAGCTAGATGCGATGGTCTTCCGGTCAGAATCTGACAGCAATGCTCCGATGCCATCCCCTGTGATATGATATGCTGCCTGCGACTCCTTGTGCTCCAGTGAATGTACAATGTTAATGCTCAGAGATCCAAATCAGAGCCAGAATCCTCCGCGTATCCACTTACGCGCTTCGCTCGTCTCTGCTTCCTCGCAGGGCTGTCAAGATCTTCATCCGGCCCAGGAACACTTGGGTGTTCCTTAATATACTGTGCTCTGAATTCGGCAGCATCTTTATCCCATTGAGCTGCTTTGACGTTATACTCTGCCATGGCAGCGGCATATGCGTTCTTCTGAACCTCTGCCTTTTCGTTATAAGGCTTCTTCTCTTCTTCAGGTGCCTCCTTCCACATCTTGGTCACCATCTTTTTGACTTCATTGGGAATTGGCTTCCCTTTACCAGGTCTCCTACCCTCTTCACACTTTCTCTTGGCATCTTCCCACTTATCTTTACTGTACATTCGGTAAGGGTTGGCATATTTATTCTCGGGTCGCCAGGGTCGATCGCCGAATTTTGTCCAGATAGCATTCCAAACTTCAACCTCATAGGCGTCGAGGCGAGCTTGCTTTGGGTCTTTCGGGCTCTGCAAAGCCTCCGATTTCCGCTTCGACGAGGAGTCCTTCGGTAAGATTAAAGGTGCAGGGATATCAATAGGGCCAAGCATTGTGTCTAACACTTCTGAGGCGGCTCTCAGGCCTGAGATATATGCACCGTGAACAGTCGCTGGATGTGTACCACAAGTATGTTCGCCGGCAAAGAAAAGGTTACCAATAGGTCGAGCCATCACCTCGTAATCATCCGGCTGAAAGTTTGGCCCGGTGTAAGAGTAGCTACCTCTTGAGAATTCATCTTGGCCCCATCTGGTGATGACAGTCTCAACGGGAGCAGGGACCTTTTGACCAAAGACGGACTTCAATACCGAGGTTGCTTCTGCCACAATTTCATCATTGCTCATTGTCTCTGTCTTGAATGCGGCATCACCAGCCATCAGAGCAAGTAGGGTAGGCAGACCGGAGGTGTTGCTACAGTTGAACCATTGAAAGAAGCGACCTCGTTGTGTGAAATAGTCCCCTTGATCCAAGCTGAAGCGATCAGGTGGGTTTCTCAGAGTGCCAAAGATATCTCGGCCTTGGTCCCAGAACGGTTCCTTGTACATCAACACAACCTTGTTCAAGATTCCATAGCCAATGCGGTGGATAGCGCCGCTCTTCCAAGCCGGCAGAGGAGGGTCGAATTGTACGACGTCTCGTTTTAGGACTCCCAGAGGTATCGTCGAAATAATGTAGTCGGCCTCGATGACTTCCCCGTGGTCGCAATGGATCTTTGACGGCGCAGTCTTGTCAGGATTGTAGGCGATGCTTATCACCTTACTCTTCTTTCGGACGTTCAATGGCTGAGGGCAGTTTAAAAGTCCACGAGGAACTTGCTGATATCCCCCGGTAACCATTGTGTGCTTGCCCTCCCACTCATTACCCGCGTCGAGATCCCAGCCACCTAGACTTAGAGTATTGCAGGTTGTGGCATTACTATATTCCAGGTTTGCAACGTGCCAATTGATCAACCGCAGGTCAATTGGAGTGAAATCGACTATCCTCATATATTGTCGAATAGCCTCATCAAATACAGAGCCAAGGGTAGCATATTTCGAGTTAACAACCCTTTCGAGATCTAGATCATGTTCGATTCCAACCCCAGTGCGGAGGTCCCAACCAATTTCCTTTGCTTTATACGCAGCTGTGTGAACGGCTGGAATACCAGGTTCAAGATGTGCTCGACCGGTAAGTCTGTCCGAGGATACGGGGATCATTTGAACTTCATTAACAGGCGATGATCGTTTGCTGCTATTGGTTTGAATGATAGAGGGATTCTCCTCGACTTCGCTGATCATTCTAGTCCCTTCTGAACTAACTTCACGGCCAGCGTCCAATAGATCCTTGTCTCCTTCGACGGCTGGGGTCGTAGGGAGCTTGAACTTGTATTCACTGACTCGATCGAGGATGTAGTTGAATAGTTTCTCAGCACGCTGATCTCGGTTATGGTCTACCGCCTTTCCTGTAGCATCGTATATCGTGGTGTCGGGTTTTAGAGCATGGTATGGAAGAGCGAGTTGACCTCTGACGATGATGTTTAAAGGATTTCCCCGGTCGAAGCCAGTAATAATCATGCCACCCATTTCTGCTGTATGCCGGCTTCCATAAGTGAGTGTAGGATATGAAGGTTTCGATTTGAATTGACGAGAATATACTCTTCCACCAATTCTCTCTCTTCCTTCCAAGACTACGACACGAGGTGGATCTTCACCCATCACTCGAAAGCGTTCTTCGAATTCAGAGAATAGGCTTTCCAGCTGTCTCGCGCAGCCTAGACCTGACAATCCTGCGCCGATAACAGCTACAGTCTTCTGCTTTCGTTTGCTAGGATGCGCCTTCTTACTCGCAGCTTTGGGTTCTTGATGTTCTAAACAACCATAATTAATGTAACCCCGTCGAACCAACCATTCATGACAGATTCTGGCTACGTCGAACCATCGAGCGTCTTTTGAGCAACCAATTGCTTCATCGCGCATGACACCGATAAGAGGATTTCTTGTCCATAACCTCAGAATACCATTTCGGATATTGAGATAAGTTGTGACTTGCTGATGTGTAAGGTGTTTTCGTAACATCGCATGTTCCTCTGTATGCAAGGCGTAAGGGTTTAACCTTGACGACTCCGC